AGGAATAAGTAAAAATAATTTCTTATTTTCAATGTTTAAACTATAAATTTTCTTTAACTTCTGATATTTGGACATCTAAAGCATAAACTGGTTATGACTAAAATACCAAATTGGTATATTTATACGAACGTGTTTGCTAGTTTGGTATTTTTAAAAACTCTGGCGACAATAAGGCATTAAAGCTCGTTCTTTTTGTCAATAAGACTCTTTTCTCAAAATTCCGGCAAGAAAATTTGTTTTAACCCCCTTTCTCCTAAAATTATTAAATATATTCCCAAATTATCAAAATAAAAAATCATCCCTCCTCCTCCTCCTCCTCCTCATTCTCTCCCATTCCCCTCTCCTCCCCTCCTTCGCCTCCCCTTCCCCCTCCAACTCCATCCCTCTTCCATACGCTAAAATATAATAGCCCAACATAGGAATCTAAAGTTTTTCAAGGCACATTTCTCTTCCACAGGTACACACATAATAATAAACTACAAAATCAACAGATCAACTAGTCGACAAAATCGACTTATCACCACAAATATAAACATGCTCCATGACTTCAGTTTCTCTGCCTTCTAATCTTCATGGGCCTTGTAGTATCGATCCAGGATTACATTGTATAGAGGGTGAATAGGCTCGAGCAGGTTAGAGTAAAGGCCTAGGACAGCCTTAGGCAATGAGGAGGAGAGGAGGGTGGGGAGAGGGATGGAGTTGGAGGGGGAAGGGGAGGCGGAGGAGGGGAGGAGAGGAGGAGTAGGAGGAGGAGGGGGAGAGGGGAGGGATGAATATTCTTTTTGATAATTTTGGGCATATATTTAATAATTTTGGGAGGTAGAGGGTCAAAGCAAATTTTCTTGTCGGAATTTTGAGAAAAAGGTCTTATTGACAAAAAGGACGAGCTTTAATGCCTTGTTGTCGCCTGAGTTTTTAAAAATATCAAACTAACAAACACATTCGTATAAATATACTAATTTAGTATTTTAGCCAACTGGTTATTTATGCATCACAACACACTGGATTGATAAAAATTGGCAGATGTTAAAAAGAATTGTTTCCTTTATTACAATTGAAGAGTCACATACTAGTATTAATGTTGCAAATTTAATAATTGAAGAGCTTATGAAACTAGAAATTTCAGAAAGAATATTTTCTCTTTCACTAGATAATGCAAGTAATAATAATGTAGCCGTTAATTTTGTCAAAACAACTCTGTCATTACCATATCATGGTGATCTTTTTATATTAGATGCATCTGTCATATTTTAAATTTAATTGTTCAAAGTGCATTTACTGAAATTAAACCTATGATAGAAAAAAGTTAGGTCAGTAACTTATATGCATAATGCTTCTGAGCAAAGAATTAGAAGATGGAAATAATTCTGTAAAAAAAAAATGTAAAGCCTAGACTAATTCTAAAAGATGTTAATCATAGGTGGAATTTCACCTAAGCAATGTTAAGTGTAGCAATAGAATATAAAGAAATTATATATGATTTTATTACTTATTATTCTTCTAGTTCTAGCTCTGGTAGCACCTATAGAATAACTGAAGAGGAATGGATAATTATAAGTGATTTAAAAGAGATGTTACAAAATTTTTATGATGCTACAATGTTATTATTTGGCTGTTATTATCCAACTATTACTTTAGCTGTTTTACAAATTTTAAATATTTAATTTTTTTTTTGCTAAATGTCATATGGATGATACTTTTGGAGCTATAGTTTTTCAAATGGAGAGCAAATTTAATAAGTATTTTAGGCCTATTCCTCATATTTTTAATTTGGGGGTTCTTATTGATCCGCAATTGAAGGATATTAGCATTCGAAGTTTGTTACAATCCTTGTATGGTAATCAGATTATAGACTTAGATGATGGATCCACCATTACTGCTACTTCTCATCATAATGCTATTAGAAATTATTTCAAACCTTATATGATGAGTATGTAGCTAAACATGGTGTAGCTGCACAGCAGTTTATAGCTTCGGTTTCTTTGAGCTCAAGTTGAGGTAAAAGTGTAAGTTTTGATAGATATGCAATGGTAGCTGAATTAACTGGTGGATCTGGACTTGGATCTGTTAGCCCTTATGTTTTGATGATGATTTACAACCACTATTATCGGTACTAATTGCTTGTTGAGTGATATTGTAGTTAATATGTATACCAAGCTTGTTAGTACCATCTAATAGAGGATTGGATGGAACATGAGCCACAACAACGATATCTAAAGGAGGAGGAGGCATAGTGATGAAGCAATGTTTAATCAAGAATACTAAACGTAATGAGAAGCTTTATCAACTCAAAAGCAATATCAAGACTCAAGAAATGTATTTTTATGTGAGAGATATTTGTTGTTTTTATTTTCTCTCTAGTGCTAGAATGTAGGTAAGTAGTTGTAGATTTTATTTGAAGCTATTGGGATATCACACACACATTTTCATACTCATATTTTTTGACGGTTTTGATAAAATATGGTTTTTCACAAGTATGAGGACCTATTCGCAAAATTCCTTTTCTAAACAGTTTTTTTAGTATTAAAAACATTTTACAAAGTTACATATTTTTTTAGAAATCATTTGTGTATTTTTATAGATTTTATAAAATGTTAAAAACTGCTTTTAAACCATATATCAGCCTGTGTCAGTTCGCGGTCGACCGTGCCAGTGTTTTTCCCTTAGGAGCCAGCAAAAACCTGTGCGGTCGACCGCAGGAGTTCCCGAGCTCTCTGTAATAGAGGCGGTCGCCCGCCACGGTCGACCGAACTGATTACAGTAGTCTCCACGGTTGACCGTCGCGGTCGACCGTAGACTTTACAGAATCTTTCCTTGGCTTTGAAAACCTGCGCGGTCGATCACGAAAAATCTCACGGTCGACCGCCGATCGCCCAACTGTCACTTTTGGTACAGAATCAAAAAATCTTTTTTGAGGGATTTTGGGGGATTTGGGTATGGGTTTTTGATGCTGTTCTTCTTCCTATTTAAACCCTCTTACCCCCTTCTTCAGAGCTATCCAAGCTCATTGCAAATCCTTGGTGTTTAGTTTATTATTTTCAAAAAAGCCAAAATTTTCATTCCTGTTGTTCACTGTTTTCAACCTCACATCCCAGTCTTCAAGTGTGATCTTTCTCTTTGTCATATGGTTATTGTAAAGAGAGATATTTTATATCATTTGCTACTGTGGTGAGCTTGATCTCGTGGAGATTAATTGTGTGGTTGTGAGATCTCGTGGAGATTGTTGTATAGAAGAAGTTTCGGCTTCCAAACCGGGTTGTGTAGTGGATTCTCCTCGAGAGTGGGGAGTGGGAATATTGGTTAGCGGACTGAACCTCGTTAACACATCGCGCGTCACTTGGATAACGATCTCTAACCTTATCTCATTTACTTTGGTTTTTTATTTTGTGGTGTATTGCATTGTCTTAATTTTATTACACAATTATTACCTTAAGATCCTAATCACCCCCCTCTAGGGTACAATAGGATCATCATTGGAGGTTTCTAAAATAGATGAATATTTATCTGCTTCTTTAGTTAAATGTAAAAATAATAATTTAGATATTTTGCAATAGTGAAGAGTATATGGATCAGTTTCATATCCTGTACTTTTTACCATGGTTCGTGACTTACTAACAATACAGGTTTCGACGGTAGCTTTGGAATCTGCCTTCAGCATAGCAGGGACGTTCGATCGACGACCACAAGACATCGTTAGATCCATATACTGTACAGGCGGTGATGTGCTTACAAGATTGGTGGAGGCACGAGAAGAGAACGCAAGACATCGATCAGCTGGCTCGAATTGAAGATAAATTTGAAGAATTGAGACTAGCAGATTGATATAAAGATTAAATAATATTCATCAAATTATAATTTTTATTTCTTAGTTAAATTTTATAATGAATTATTTTGGAAACAATTACAAATGATAGTGATATAGGTGAGTAGGTGCCAACCTAGTTGGGATGTACTCATCTATTGTGATGCGATGAATTCCGAAATAAATTTATACTTGTAAAGGATTTACTGATTATTAATAAAGAAGTTATTTTTATCATTTGTATTTTTTATAATTTTTTGTATTTGTAATTTATATAATTTCAAGTGGTTAATAATATTATTATTTTTTATTAAAATTTTGTGTAATATTTTTATGTAAAATTGGAGTTTTAAAGAGATTAAAAAAAACGGACCGCTCCGGAGCCTGGCCCGCTCAGGCCTGGGCCACGACCCGGCCCGGGGCAACCGGGCACGGGTCTGGGCTTCGGTTTTGCCCGGCCCGGATGGATACCCCTAACCATATCTGTATCCTAATGGATATGATTACTGACATTTCCTCGGATACGGATATTTTCTAGAATACGAATACAATTTAGCACCCCTAGTCACTGCGTATGACCAAAAATTATACAAATATATTACTGTTTATATTGAATTAACGATTATTAATTTTATTTATATGCCTTGTTATACTTTCTTCTTATATAGTTTATTACTTGCACAGTGTACAATAAATGAAAAAAAAATGGCTGGACAGTGTTCAAGAAATGAAAAAAAAAATGGCCGGATAACTATTGGTTAGAAAAGAGAGAAGATGAAAGAGCATGTTAAGAGATACTTTTTGAGACCCAAAATATGGGACCAATAGGGGGGACAAGTGTGACGTCCCCTTCCTATTGGATAATGAGTTGGTCATCATTAATGATGACCAACTCATTATCCAATAGGAAGGGGACGTCACACTTGTCCCCCCTATTGGTCCCATATTTTGAGTCCTTAAGTAATTTTTCTTTTTAAATTTGATAAAATTGATGTAGATATACATGTGCGTGATAGAAGAAACTAAAAACAAGGTTTAAATAATAAGAAATATATATTTTATTTCTAAAAATTTAAAGACTAACTAACACCTATTGTATTAAAGTTGGTATGGTAATTTTTTTATTTCACTTTCGCACGTTATCTTTATAAAATAAATGACGAGACACTGATAGTGTATCATTTTCACATTTTAAATTTTATTTTAATGCAAATAAACAATCAGTGACAATTGTATTAGTTGTTTTTAGTATAGAGAGCGGAAAGAAAGGTAGGCATCTGTCTTCTGAAGGCTCTGTCTGCTGTTTCAACAGACAGCTGATCAGAGGCCTCGAAGTCCACGTGAGCTGGCCCAAACCCGAGGACTTCCCAAGGGCTGAGTTTTGGCTCCTAATCTCACGCCGCCTTTTCATCCTCTACTCTCTTACTGTGTCCCATTCAAAGAACGAAATGGGAGCCGAAGCAAAGATACGCGATCTGGTCACCGCCATGGAAGCAGGAGGAGAGCAGCAGCCGACGATTCAAGAAACCGAAGGCGGTAAGCTTACCTCTTCCGCCGCCGTTGCCGCCGCGCCGTCGATCCCAAGGTCTCCGATCTCTATCAACATCTCGCTTCCTCTTCCCCAAATGAAGCCTCACGTCGTGTAAGCTCCTTCCTCCTCGATTTTCTCTTTTCTAGGGTTTTGGTGAATATTGTTTATTTGCAAATTTGAGATTTTATTTGTTATTTTTTACTATGTTTATTTACTGTTTGCTACGCAAAATTGGATCTTGAGCTCATTTTTGTATGGAATGGATTTTAAAGTTCTTAATTTTAATGATATAATAATATAAAGATGAAATGTGACGAGAGAAGATTAGACTGATTCTGGAACATGCAAGTCATGAAAGAGGCTTTGAATTATTCTTGATTCTGATTGTGATTATGTTTCAAATATTCGATTTTTTCCCTAGTCATGCTTCTAATTTTATGGTATGAGTCAAATCTTGTTATCAGTTCTGTATGTAATGTTGTAGCTCTTACTTTTGTAACGGGTCACCTGACAAGCAAATTTTGATAAAAGGGAATAGCATATTTTCCTTTGTTAGTTTTTGGAACTAATAACTTTCTTTTTTAAGATAGTTTGCTTGATTCAAGAAATCGCAAAATATGATTCTTTCCATCTTAAATTCCTCCTAAACTTGTTCATATCACACCAAGTTTCAGTTACAGGCAAGGAATGTCTTTATGATTGTATCATCACTTCCATGTTCATTTTCTTAAAATTACTAATTGCAAACTCTGTGTAAGTGACCTAGGAGAGCTCACTCCTAAAAGCTAGTTGGTAGAGGGAGGAATTCAAATCTCTTATAAATACGCAATTGACTCCTCAATTAGTGAGTGTGAGACTAAATGACCGTAATATACCACCACGCTTTCGCAGTCCTGGCGCGGGGACTGCAGAAGCGTTGGGACGGCTCTGATACCATTTCTAAGAAACTAAAACTCACCCATAAAAGCTAGATGTTAGAGATAGGATTCTTAACGCTCTACATGCAATAAGAGTAGAGGATTAAGCCTGGTTATTAATATGAGGACTTGGTAGAAAATTTTGGATCAGTATAACCATGTCCTTTTTTTAATGAATTTCCTTTTCGGAATGGAACTTCATAGTGAAATTCTGGAATTTGATGAAGAAGGGATAGCATGCTACTCATATCTTCGGTAATCGCATAAAGTTTCAAGTACTTAGTTGATAGATTCAATCTGATTATTCGTGATCAACTTCCCTTCAATCTGTCTTCTATTGTCAAGTATTTGCATAAGTGATTAAGTCGCAACATTTGCCATGCACAAACTGATGTTTGCTGTTCAAGAGGTTATATATAGTGAACATGATTGGTAGACATGACAGCTTATGCTATGTGACTGACTTATTATTTAGATATTTCGGCACATATTTGGTTATTTTTCCTATTTCATTTGCTTTGTGATTAATTCCTCAATGATTCATTTTCTGCAGCCTATTGTTGGAAGCATTTGTTAGTTTACAGTCTTCAATTCTTAATGGTTGGAGCTTCACCTCTCCTAATTTCCTCGTATATTAATAAACTCCAATGTAAATTTTTTGTTAGATGAAATTAACTCTAAATCAAACTTCACATATCTTTTTCTTCGTTTTTGCTGCTTCTTGCTGCTGCTGACACTTAACAGTCAAAGTTGTCTCATTGTCTTGTTTGAGAAGAGACTAGAGGGTCAGAGGTGAGTGGAGCAAGGAAAAGAGAAGAGATTAAAGATGGGAGAGGAGGGGAGAAGGAAGGTGAACCAAGAAGCAACGTGCATTCAATTTGGGGATAAGTTCTATGAATGTTGAGAGAAAGAGAAAATGTTTCTTGTTTTGAGTGCGGATTTTGGGTTTAAACGTCCATATTCTGTAAGATATTACATATGAAAATGAACCAAAGTAGACCCCAAAGGCTTCAGCTTGTAGTTGTACCCAATTGACCCCGACAGTTGCTGGAATGTTTTTGAAGTATCTGTGCATCAGAGCACATACATATTAATATTTGTTTATTTATTTGGTTTTGGGACTATTGCTCTATTTATGTTCTTGTATTCCTGGACCTTCCTTCATGTTTGAGGGTGAATGATTTTTTGCCACCCTAAAGTATAGTAATTTCTTTCCCAATGTCCATCATCAAGTTGTTATTCTGATAAGAAAATCCATTTTTGTCTATTTAGAGAGCTGTGCAAGGATCTCTTTAAGAAATGGTCGTCCCTTGACAAAGAAAATCCATTTTTGTCTATTTAGAGAGCTGTGCAAGGATCTCTTTAAGAAATGGTCGTCCCTTGACAGTTCTTGCTTCTCTAGAGAGCTGTGCAAGGATCTCTTTAAGAAATGGTCGTCCCTTGACAGTTCTTGCTTCTCCCTTGAGACCGTCTCTGGTGGTATTACCAATCAATGTAAGCTTTTTTATTCCATATATTACTATTTCTTTTCGACAGTTATTTCTTTTCAACAGTTTGACCTTTTTGATGAAAATATCATTCATGTACTCTAAAATTTGATGTAACATCAAGCAAAATTTTTGTTCACCTCTTATTTTGGATTATAAACCTTTTTCACATTTTGTTTGAATGTTTTGACCATATCTCTGTGCTTTCTAATGTTTCCACAGTGGCTTTCTGGATCTCTAATTGCATTTTCGTTTGGTTCACATGTTGCATGCACATATCTGTGGTGCATAATATTTTCTTGAATCACTCACTTTAATGGCAGCTCATTGTTAATTCTCGCAGTGTTGAAGGTCTCTGTGACAAAAGCCAATGACCATGATGCGGTTTTGACAGTTCGATTGTATGGTCCGAATACTGACTTGGTGATTGATCGTGAGCGAGAGTTGCAGGTGGGTCCTTGCAATTTATTTCTTCAAAAGTTTGATGTGAGAAATCTACAAATTTCATACTAAGACTTCTCTACTTGTGTATTGTTGATTCTGTTGCAGTATATGTGACTGTTCTTGTGAACTATGATCATTTTTTATGATACATGCTTATTTTTTCTGTTTATTTTTCCTAAACAATAATTTATTAATCATTTATTTTCTTCCTATACGTAAAATTGTATAGGAAGTTTTTGATGCCTACAGATACCCCCTCCAAAGTGTTTCAGCCTCGTTTCTTTTATAGAAGAGGTTGTGATACTTTGGACATGATACGTATGGTTAGTAATCCCTCAATTCCTCTTAGTCTATTCAATTCTTTGTAGAATAGCTAAGATTCGTCCGGTTCTGCGTTTATCGTCTGACCGTTGTCGAAATTCCCAAAAACACGTATGATATGAGAAAAAGACATGTAGGAAGTAATATTCTGTTTTATATTTTATCTGCTATTTTCATAGAGACATATTTCTGTTCAGAATGTCATAGTATCATCCTTTGAATTGTTGCTTCACACTTTTTGGTTATATTCTTAATGAACTTTGCTAATATTGTTTTTTACATTTAAATTTTTTGTTATTGACATGCATTTATATGTTATTTCTATTAGGCCCTGCCACATCTTTCAGCTGCAGGGTTTGGTGCTGAGCTACTCGGACTATTTCAAAATGGCATGGTTCAATCTTTCATCAATGCCCGCACGCTTTCTCCATCGGGTAAGCTTTTAAACTTGTATGTTATGTGCAAAACCCATCAGACGATGTAGAGATGTTTACATTAGGTTATTATCCGCAAAAGATGTAAATTGGATTTTTCTTATGCTAAAAAAAATTTGTAACGTAGGGGTTAGGGAGTTTGCAATTAAAGACTCATCATCAGTGTTGTAAAAAGCGGCAAAAAGCGCCGCTAATTGCGGAAGCGGTGGTTTACTGTTCCGATAAAAAAGATAGCGATGTGTTGTGGTGGAAAAAACCGCTTTTTACTCGCAAAAGCGGTGTTTAGCGCCAAATAGCGTTGTTTAGCGCTTAAAAGCGATAAACAGCGGTAAATAGTGCTATTTCATTTTAGAAAATCCTTACCTAAACTCGATCCGAACCCAACCCGAAACCATAAAACAAAAACCCATCTCAACTCTTTCTCTCTCGCCTCTCTGATTCCCGACCCGTGCCCTAGCTCCACCTCTATCTCTCTCGCCTCTCTCTCACCTCCTTCGGC